AAAAAATGTAATATTATATAATCCTGCCCTGGTGTACAATAGGAGAAGGGTAGGATGGGCTGAATTACAACTAAATCTATGAAGTGAATCAGACAGSAAATACATTCAAGGGTGATAAAATAGTACATAATAAATAAAGGGATGTCCGGAAAGAGGAATTGAATGTAAAAATGTCAAGGTTTCTACTTACGTCCAGTACTCAGAGCTTGGAGATACAAATTTTTGAGTGCAGTTTATTGGCAGATCGAAAGCTGTACAGTTTAGGGCTTGATTGGCTATGCGATCAGACCTAAAAAAATAATAATACCACAAAAATACCATTGTGCGTTAGTCGTACAGAAGGGCCATCATCTTTGTCTGAGAGCCAATTTTTGGTATTCGACTCATTTTTGTCGAATTTTGAAGTTTGGAGTTATGTCAGCAAAATGCCAAGGGAGATGTTATAGTACCCGATCTGTTCCATGGCCAGAAAATCCGGATATACGAGCCCGCAATAGCAGCGGTACTTCGCATAAATCCAAAAAAAAAAAAATGTTTGATATATTTTACAAAGAAATGTACGGATCAAAAAAATATTTGAGAAAAACATTTGATCTGTTTTACCTGGAACGTTTTCCAAGATGAAATCCTGGAGGGAAACTATTCTTGATTCCACTGTAGGAAAGCTAAATAAACACGAATTTGTTAAGAGCGTCCTTTTTGAAAATTTTCTTTTCCTTTCGTCGTCTCCTTTGCCCTTGTATTTCATYGTGAAAATCCGCGAAGAAGCGAAATTTCACCGTAGCTGTTCGTGTTTCCTTACATGTTACTGATTTTTCAAAGATCATTTCTCCATACATTGAGCTACAAACACAGCGATTTTCAGCTATTCTGAAGACGACAAATAGCGTCATTTTTGGTACTAGAAATCGTAAAATTAAAAAACACTAACGGGGAAATGGCTGGCGACGATTCGTGTTTCACGCGAAGAATTGGCCTCGATCTTCAATTTTCTTTCAACTTTATCCGCCATGTTTGGTACCAAAATTAACCTTAGAAACGCGGCTTTCAGACTGGGGCTGCTTTAATTTTGGCGGTTTTTACTGGCGCCGCGCGCACTGGTAAATGGCGGGAAATCAAGCAAAAGATAGATCAATCAAGTCTACTCTATTAAGTGTAAACAATGTCAGACCTTTTAAAAACCTTAGAAATTTACAAGTATAAACAAAAAATCACAATATCCACTGATCATTGTTTAAAATACGTAAACGTGYGTTCCAGATAATATTATTTTTACTATTAAAATTCCAAACGAGCACCTCAGAAGCTGGTATGAACTCAAGGATCAGGGCGTGCTATCCCAATACTCGTTTRTCGATGTTTTGAACGTTTCGATAGCCCAATATGGTATTAAGATAAAGGATCGTTGCACAAGAGTAGAAAGTTTGATCTTCAAAAGTTCAAATCTTGTCAAGGGAACTTGTAGAAAGCTCTATTTTTGTGGGAAAACCCGCTGACTCGTCCTGGGCTCAAATATTCGGAATTTCTGGTCATGCTTAGTATCGTCTCTGCYGACCCCTATTTGAAGTTACGGTCGTCAAGGGGATAATCAATCCCTATCGGGATAGGACAGATAGGACTTGACCGAACTGATCCTTGGGACGTGGTTGTACGATAGTCAAAGCTCAAACATTTATACAGGTCATATATTAAGAGAAAGGCACAAGAAACTATTTATAAATGTCAAAATGACATAAATGACATTACAAATAGATTTTTGTGCCTTTCTCTTGATATAACTATTTTAATTTTTCCTTTTTGGCGATTGAAATGACATTTTACACAGGTCAATTGTGAATAATCCCATTTGAAGTTTTAGCAAATATTAATCGGGATATCTTAGCGAAAAAATGCGCAAATTGTTTGTGTTTTTTTCGAAATTTCAATTGCAGACGTTCTCATAAAGTAAAAAAAGCGTACGTTCAGATCACCAGAAGAATTATACAGCATAAGTGTCATTGTTAAATTTTCAGAGTATAGCTACACACAAGCGTTCTATACAAGTATCTAGTGAATATTTCAATGTATTTTGTATAACGACTTGCGTAACTGGCCCTTTGGAAAATTTCCTGCAAAAYACTTATGCGATAAGTACTCTATAGAATTATGGAAACAACAGCCTTGAAGAAAAATATTATTTATTAATTTTTTGTTTTAAATATACGTTATGACTAGGATTTTCATAATAATAGCATATGAAGTATATGAACTACAGTACTACTTTATTAATTCATGTAAGAAAATGATAAAAAATTGTAGAATATGAGGTCTTTTTGTAGCCATTTAGCTTTTGTTTTAGTTTCCGGTCCACATCTTGTTCTACTTCTGAACTGTTTTTATCTCGCCTTAAAGAGATCCTACTTCTCATGATAGAGAACCGGTTATGAAATACGTCACTGCATTGTGACTGAGGAGGAAGTTTTTAAAACATAATTTTTATCATTGTCATTTTAATTGCTATGAACTACTTAAACCTAAAACGTGGTTTATAGATTTTCAGTTGCGGGTTGTAGCAGTCGTAAAGTAATTGATAAGTTTTGTTCTTAAAAAAATCATTTTGTAATTTTGCAATGCCAGTAAACCTGACAATATCGGAGCCATGGGCACTTCATGTAAACTGCATGAAAAGGTATGCAAAGACCATTTTGTCTGGGCAGGTGCTGCTGTTCTCCATTCTGAACGGACCCATCATCTTCGTTTTGGTTCGTAAACTTCGTCATCTTTCAGTAGTAAATACAATCATTCTCCATCTATCTGTCACAGACTTTATACTGTCTTTGATATCCATTTGCAACGRTTTCTTTTTGTTGTCGGGGATTCCAATTTCAAGCACTTTCTTTTGCCAGCTAGCGGCCTTTTTGACTCGTACTACTCATTGCTCTTCAATATATTTCATTACTATCATGGCGGCTTCCCGCTGCTACAGTGTGGTCAAACCTTTCCAGTATCGTACCAATATGTCCCCCTCCAAGATAAACAAGATATGCTTTGGTGCTTGGTGCTTTGCTTCGGTGTTTGGGGCGATGCCTTTGATAGGATGGGGAGAATATGAGCCAACGTACGGACAGTGCCGTTGTTCTTTGAACACTCACAAATATCCATACAATTGGTTAATAACTTGTCTCGTTAGCTATGTTGTACCAATTTTGATGAATAGCGTGTTCTTGGTGAGATTGGCTAAAACTTTGTGGAATCAAAGGAACAAGATGAAAGACATAAGAAGACACAAAGCTCGAAAAAAAAAGTCCTTTAAAAAGTCACAAGTAAAGCCAAACTTTACATCAGAAGGTCAACTCATTTCATCGAGGAAGACCATATTCCAAGCATGTGTCAAAAGTGGACAAGGAATTGAAAATAYAGCTGGTAAACAATTGCACATTGTTGAAGTGAACATTGAAATTCACCAAGTCGATTCAAGAGTTTCACAGGAGAGTCGGCTGTTTTCAAATTCAAGCCAGGAAACTCCGGAAAAAAGGTTTCAAAAAATCGGAATGACTGATATAATKAAAATAGAATACCAAGCGCACATAGAAAGCATCAAGAAAGACGAAGGAATCAAAATAAAGAACGCAGCAGGATTGGAGACAACTCGAAGAACTACTGCTCCCGTGAAAGGAACTCTCTATGAATATAGAACTAAATTTCAAAACTCATCGAAGGATTTCAAAGTTCTTATCATAGCTATAGTATTTGTTTCTTTTGTTGTGTTATGCGGTCCAAGTGCTGTTGTTCGAAGTTGGTATGCCCTGAGTCCAGACTCTGTTCCACAGACTGCATTTCTTTCGGTAAATTTTCTTGCTGGACTGAATTCACTACTGAATCCGTTCTTGTATGGATTATTATTCTTTTCATTGCATTCATGTATATATTTAAAAAAAGCAAACAACAAAAAAACAAAACAATAACAACAATAAACAAAAACCAAACCAAACAGAAAAAAATATACTTTTTCATATGACCAAAATGACACTAATATGAATAGTTCTATTAAATAAAGCAGGTCTGCATACAAAATTTATGAAGTTGTAATTCGCCGTGGTAAACATTTTTTTCAGCCTCTTCCTACACCTTGACGCAACTTTTGTTTAGGCCATACCATTATAGTCACAGCCTTGAATAATGAAGAAATTATAAAATGCTCTTGAGGAAAAAGATTGCCCGGAAATCAACTTTCGTTTTTTAAAACCTGATGAAACACCATAGTTTGTAAATTACTGAAAACAAAAGAAATTGATAGGTTCTATTCAGGCACTTCTAATGAACTGCGTGGGTTTTAACGGGAAAACCTTGACCTKTTTTCTTCTACTTTTTTTCTTTTTCCAATACTTTTTTGATTAAGTACTAGTAGCTATATTCCGATTTCAATTTCCATTTTTCTACCTAGCAGTTAGTGTTGTCCTAATTTCTTGAAATCAAGTTCAAGCTCATTTAATTTATATTTTTGGTAAAATTACAATGATTGATTTGGTTGCAAAATAGCATACTGATACTAATCGAGGCAGGTCAAGCTTCTATGTTTAAAAAAAATATTTATTGTTCATTCGTTTTGTTACAGACATCGGCTAAGTAAACTATTATACTTGAAAATATTGTATATTTTGTGTGTAGATGTGTAAATAAACAGTAGTCATAGTGAAGTGCTTTTGATTTAAAAATTGGACTCGGGTAATAAGAAAATGTGGTGGAAGCTGCATGAACTAGTATGAGCTGTATCAATCTGGATACACGTGCCATTCAGCTATCTACTTCGTGGCCAATGGTATGTCTTCCGAAAAGACGTCAAAGCGTGCAATGATTTCTGGGCCGGTTGTTCAAAGCCCGATTAGCGTTAATTCTGGATTAACTCTTARGAAAACCTATAGAGTTAACCCTGGATTAACGCTAATCCGGCTTTGAACAACCCGGCCCTGGGTTTCCCTGTGTAATCAATTTACCAACATGCCGTCGCGAATAGATCATAAAGCCGTTACGTCATATACTGAATACGCAATGCCATAGACTGGATTTCGTATTACTGCACAAAAGTACACTGCACTTTTGTGTCTGTACCGTGCCGTGACGGTGATGTTTGTTTTTGATTCCTTAGATTTATTTGGATCACTGTCCGTGTTGTGTTTTGTGCATTTGCACAGATATGGAATCCGCTCTGTTTGGGACAAAACATGGCGAACTTCTTTTTTTGGGACAAAACGATGTATTTACCTGCAAAAAGGCGTGTTCCATTCATTAGTGCAGTATTTCCAAGGCACCTCKGAACGAAACGAGTCAAACAGATAGAAGAAAACCCATGCGAGTATTACAATGTAATACATATTGCTAGTAAACTGCATGAAGAGCATTGCATAACCAATACCTTAAAGGAGAAAGATAAAGTTAATAGATTGCTATATAACACAGAAACTGATTGGATGATTGATAACCAATTGAAATACAGCATGAACTGTGATTGTGTGAATGCTAAATATTTGAAATGCTGTTACACATATAACAACCTTTCTATTATCAGGTGTCAATATACGCATTATAAACTTACCAGCGCTCTCAATCTCAAGATTTTTACTATACATGCCCTCCAAAAAATTACTTGATAGGTTTTTGCTACGCGCCCTTCGCCCCTGCGTGTAACTTTTGTCTCTCGGAAAAAGTCATAATCTATTTTTTCGGAGCACCAGTTTTGTGAAATGACCTTTTCGTCATAAYAGGCACAGGTTGAATTTAAATTGACAGGATGAAAAGAAAGGAGAGGGTCACCCTTGCAATGTTTAAGGATGTAAATTTTGCGCTGTCAATTAGTATATAGTATTGCAGTTTGGCGCAGGTAAGTTGCCGATTGAGTCYAATGTCAAGTAGTGTTTGTCACCAAAATCATTTACAAACAAAATGTCGCGATTGGGAATGCTCTCTTTTTGACTCCGTCTATACGATATTTAGCATGCTAAGCAGAMGAAATGCCAATAAACCAACTCACCGGTTGCAAACGTCAAGGACTTTTATTTGTAACATGTTAGATTATGTTAGAATATAATGTCTTTATGCACATTTTAAAATAATTATTCATTAGCCAAGCAATTGTCTCACAATTGTCTTATGCCATAACCCTCGCTCTTCGACGTAGACCAAATTTTAACAAAGGCCCTCGTGCATCCGAGAATCTTTGCCGTCGTTTGTTTTGGTGCTATTTAGGCAAGGTTAAATACGAACGAAATGATAGCCGACGTCTCACAACAAACCATTATTAATCACTAACGCTATTCATATGATCCCGCCAGCTCAAACCACTCGAACGGAATTATAACTGCGCTCTCACCGCAAACCATTATCAAGTGTGTCGCTCAACGTCACTAGGAGTATCTGGCAATTCGATATACGCTAGCTATAACCAATCACGATCAAACGCTATTCACGTGATCACGCCAGCCCAAAACCAACCCCCACCACGAGTTTGACCATTCGCTATCGCTAGCACTCACATCGCGATTCATTGCAATTATTCGTTACATCCAAAACGCATAAAAATGACCTCTTGTTGAAAGCTGCTTTCTGTTTGGCTCAAAAGCAAAKAATGTCAAATTTTCATAGGTAAGAACATTTACGCATAGGCTTTTGGTTGCACTGGGGCATTTARAAGTCTTTAGACAAAAATTACCTGAAGATAGCGGACAAACTGCTTTCCAAATACCTATGAAGCCACGATTGTACCATTGACCAACAGACAGTTCCATAAAGAACATAGGAACACCAATTATCGCCAGCATCAGAAAGTAAGGAAAGATAAACGACGCTGAAAAGGATATACGTAAATTAAAAAAAAAATAAATAAATAAAAAAACACGAAAATGTCGTCAAGATATACATTTTAAAAGTGATGTCTCTACCAATGTTGTGATGCAGGAGCGTTTTAAGCAATACTTACAGATTCAATCCCAAAACATGTATAGTGAGAATTGATTGAGTTCGAGAAAACGCACTTGTCTGACTTACCCAACGTGGCTGGCCATTTGACTTTTGATTTTAAAATAAATTTCAGCACAAATGCATTTTCAAAATTTCGCACTTCCAATTTATTAGGATAAAAAAGAAACAGGCATAAAAATATTGTTGCAAAGAAGCGAAAAAATATTCTGCAGAGGATCATTGATTACTAGTTTTTTAAGCAGAATAATAATCTTGAATAATATTTTTCATGAGAAAATAAATTATCGCGTCTGTAAAAAGAAGCCTTTGAAAGTTCGGAATATAAATCTAAAACTGACAAAAAATAAAGTAAATTAAAGAAATGCTTGCCTCTACAACAAGAGTTGCATAAAAAATTGCTACAAAAATTTTCACTCAAGCGAATTCATGGCTTAATAATTAGGTTTAGGGAAAATATAGGGTTAGGCAATGCATAGAGCTGGTTTGAATCTTAATGCGTGTCCTTCAAAGATTTGTCAGTGTAGCTTAAGTATTTGAAAATTTTCTAAATTCTTCTTCATATAATTGGGACATGAGAGTCTTCTATGTGCACATTAGCGCCGTACATGCACAGCCATATATGGAAGTCGTGCGACAGGCCCTTCTCGCCATCTGTTGCATAAGCAAGTGCTGCCATTTGTCTTTGCCTGCTTTTTAAAAAACCTAATGAAGGTCTATGATGCGATATTAAAATTGGGAGTTGATATATTTGGAAAATTTTTTTGACTGTTTTTTTTCCCAATGATATATAGATAGAAAAATTCAGTAACTTCTGGATTTTTTTATATGTTTTTTAACTTACAAATATGAAAATTTAGAAAAAAATCATTTTATCAGTACTAATGCAAAAATTCAGGTGCTAAAATGTCCAAGAAACTAGGAGGAGATTCCTCGTTGTTTGTTGGCGCCATGTTTACCCTCGTTAAATGATTTGTATTCCGCGCCAAAACCTTAGGGTGCTTGCCTTATTTGGCTCAAACATATTCATGTTTAGGYCCCGTCCACACTACTAAAGCGTTTTCGTTTGTATCCGTTTTCAATAAGTGTGAAAACGYATAGATTGAACTGCGTCCACACTAGCGTATTCAAGCGTATCAGTGTGGACAGTTGAAAACACAAATACGGTCATATCGATCAAATTACATGTCTTCTGCGATAAAGAAAACTCAATAAAACAAGAAAAAAACTGCTCAAGACCCTTTCATATGGGCAGATAATGAAGTTGAACTTCTGTTAACAGTTACAAACGCGTAGAAGGTTTCAAAACGTACGAAAGCGTGGATTGGGAGTCACAGTCCAAAGCATTATTTAATGCAGACATTATCGAACGATTCAAAAAACACATTCCATCGACAGAGGAAAAAAACGCCCAATGGCTTTTATCTGGAAAAGACTTGCCACAAAGCAGACGATATTTCAAAGAATATTTTAACTAMAAAACTTAAATCCATAGGACCAAGGGGAACGATGAAATCATCGTTTTCAAAAGGAATCGTTTTCGCTGTCCACACTGACCGGGATGCCGTATCGTTTTCAAAACGATTCACTTTCAACAGCGTTTTCAAAAGRATCCGTTTTCGATGAAAACGCTCAGCGTTTTCGAGCGTATTAGTGTGGACAGAAGGGCAAAACGCATACTTTTCGATTCGTTTTCAAACGAAAACGCTCTAGTGTGGACGGGGCCTTAGCTAATATACATAWATTACGATACAATCGTATGAGGAAGTGGCTGATCCCATTAAAGAGTGCTCAATACACATAAAGTGTAGAGCTAGTTATGTATAATTATATTATATCAAAGAGGCAAGATTTTGCTGTAACTCCGAGTTTCGTGCTACGCACTCATCAGACAGTATTTAATGATAAACATTCCTATAATCTAGATATATATACATGGTATAGAACAAAAGGMTAAGTGCTAGGCTATTTACATACAATACGTGATAGTTATGCTAGAAACAATAGGTGTGAAGGTAAAAATTACAAAGGAGAGTATACTATTAAATTAAAATCGCGTAGGTGTGAATACAATAGGCTGTAGAGGTGTCAAGTGTTCTTCAGGTAGAATTTGTTTTCGTGTCGGCATTTAGAGATGAGTTCTGATCTTTTGTTTAGTATATTGTCGTTACTGTGTTAAATTATCATAAGTTTTTCTGTAAGGCAGAGGTCGCATCGTTTGGATATGTTGTTGTAGGGTCTTGCACGGCTGATAATTGTCCATTTGATGTTGAAGTCTTGTTTTTTGTCTTTTAGTTGCCAGATGTACTTAGAAAGTTCGGTGCTGTGGATGTGCTTTCTGTGTTTAAATGTAGATTTGTGCTGCGAGAATCTTTGTTTGAATGTTCCTTCTGTCAGTCCAATGTAGTTCTTGGTTGTGTTGCTGGTTGTGACTTGCGCGTTGTAGATTACACTGGAAGTTAAGCATTTGTTGTCTAGCGGGCATTGGTCTTTATTGTGGCAGTTGCATTGTTCTCCGGTGATTGCGTTGGCGTTGTTGTCGGCGTTTGTTACTTTCATTTTGTGTTTGTTGATTACTGTTTTCATGTTGTCCATACAGCTGTAGCTGACTTTTACGTTGTTTTTGTTGAAGAGGCTGTGGTATTTATRCTGGTTCGGGAAGTGCTTAGATATGAGTTTCAGGAATGTTCTGCCGATGTTGTACCATATAATGTTTCTTTGTCTGTTRCGTCGGGGGCGTGCTGGTTGTTTGTCTTTGTTGTATATTAGTGTTGCAGAGTGTCCGCTGGCTTTAAGAGCAGTTTCGTAGAATGGTTTGGCCTTGTTAAATTCGTGTTCGTTGCATGAGTTGTCGGAGATGCGGCGGTTGATGGATGCTGGAAGTTGCTTTAATATGTTAGGCGGGTGGTTAGACTTTGTGTTGATGTACAGTGGTTCGTTGTTCGGCTTTCTGTAGGGGCAGTAGGTACCTTTTGTTAGGTCGAAAGTGACGTCCAGGTAGTTAACAATTTTCAAGTTAGTCTGTATAGTGATGTTAAGTCCATGTGTCTTGAAGCGTCTTGTGATGTCTTTTCTGGTGCGTTCAGCTTGTGGTCCGGAGATGTTTCTGAAGATGGCAAGTCCGTCGTCTCTATAAAGCCCGATATTGTCTTTCCCGTATGTGTTACATAGGTCGTTGAGGATGAATAAGCCTACAAGCTYGCATATTTCGGYTCCGTCSTAGCTGCCCATAGTGACATCAAATGAGCTGTTGTTTTTCTTAATCCAGGCAGTRTTACTGTTGAAGAGGAGGGATTTCCRTGAATGCATGATAATGTCAATGTCGCTSTCCGTAATGGTAGTGAATTGTTTGGCGAAGTTGATTGCGTCTGTAAGGAGTTTCTCAGTGATGGAGGGGTAGAAGTTTTCAATGTCAGATACGGCGAAGGTGTGTTGATCTTTGTGTTGAATAGATGAGAACCAGTTAATGAGGGTTGATGAGTTTTTCCATTGGTTAAGGCCAGTCTTCTGTCTCACAGTCATGTTAATGTTCGCGAGGATTTCTTTGCTGATGCGTCCGATTTCACTTTTTGCAGGGTTAATAAGTCTACATGTAGGTTTGTTCTGGAAGTTGTCTTTGTGGTCCTTGAGTGTTATAAAAGCCTGTCGTTCAGCCATACGTTCAGCGCGGTCGTCAATGTTCAGATTAGTAGCAATAGCTTTAGCATCTTTGTTAATATTAGTAATCGTGTTAGGGCTTGCTTTCTTGTATGTCGATGTGATATTGTCCATGAGAAGTTTGTCGTGTGTAGCATTATCTACTTCGTAGAAGTTGGTTGTTTTGTCAGCAGGTATGAAGGTTTTCGTAGAGTTGTTTATTTTCCTGATGTCTTGTTGCAGATGGTCTTGGAAGTCGTCTCGTATTTGTCTGAATTCGATGTTCTTAATCATGTCGTATACGTCAGTTTCAAAGTTGTTTAGGTCTTCGTTCTGTGGATGGCATTTTCTTGACTTGAAACCAAAGTTGTTGCTGTCAACGTTGTCGTCGTCGTTGTTGTGTTCGGTGTCGTTCTTATCTTTGTTCTGCTCGAAGAAGAAGGCTTTCCAACGCATACGCTTGATTACACTTTCGGTTTTTTCGATAAGTTTCTTGAGGTAGGAGTTTCTTGACGGAATAGGAATGTTCTTCATTGAATAGTTGAATCTTGTTTTCTCCATTGTGGATAACGGCGGTCGGCGAAAAGTGCTCTACTGATGTAATTTTGACATTGAAAACTTCTACCCCTCCATCAATGAGAAACTCCTTACAGACGCAATCAACTTCGCCAAACAATTCACTACCATTACGGACAGCGACATTGACATTATCATGCATTCACGGAAATTCCTCCTCTTCAACAATAATACTGCCTGGATTAAGAAAAACAACAGCTCATTTGATGTCACTATGGGCAGCTACGACGGAACCGAAATATGCAAGCTTGTAGGCTTATTCATCCTCAACGACCTAT